GATAATGAACATCAAAATGCATACTCCAAATCAAGATGAAGACTGAAAATTAAAAATCAATAAACGCAATGCACAAATGTACAATAGTTTTTAAAAATATATGAATTGATAAGCCTGATGATGATGTGGTAAACATCGAAACATGTCGTCGAAATCAAAAGCGCTGTGATAGATGTAATATTATACGACACAGAAAAGCGCCATAAAATATAACATAATGCAATTTATATTGTAAATGTTATAAATAATTTTAACAACATTATTTAAAAACAAGTTTTGTGTATAGACTGGAAAAATAAATATATGTATAGAAATAAAATAACATTGTAAAATTTATGTAATGTACAAGTAAACATACAGATGCAAGGTTGATTGTCGGCATATAACGGAAAGGCAGGCATTTCTTGTTGGTGTTAATACTACAAGAAGGGTAACGGTTTTCGAAATCGGATGTTTGTCTTTTCTCTTAAGTCATACTTTATTTCTGCCGTTAGCTCTGGTAAAATAAATTTGGTTCTGCAATAAGTACGTGAAGACGAATTTAATATGAAAATAGCAAAGAATGCATTTGAAAAGTATGTCCTCCATTAACATACCTCTCCAGCTTTGTCGGTGGCGAGAAAAAAGACGAGTTACGTATTCTACATGCGAATCGTCACGTCAGATTCCTTTAAACGGGCGCAGAAATTATTAAAGGGAAACGTGAGCCATCCTGAGGCGTTGTAAGAACCACGTACATCATATAGCACTATTATTCCGTTCCGCCGGGAATCATGCATGGTTGCGTGTCTTCGCCACGCTTCCACGGAAAAACAGCCCTACCCGCGTGATCGCTTTATGTTAGTTGGCACTAATACATTTTCAAGTAATCAAATGCAATTTATGTCTATACAGACTTGAAAATTTGTACTACAACTACGTCGTCAATGGTTCTGCAGACGGCGCCAGATTAAAGTTGAGCTTCCTCCATAAAATGTTTTCATGGTCACAAGAGTAACAGAATTGTTTCTGTTTACAACCTATAATGAATGTACAGTGTGTTTTGCGAACCCTTGGAGTTGTTATTGGTGCATTTAACGACGGTACTTATTATTCTAATTGATGAATTGGAAAGACTATAGAATGAACTGGTCGTAGCTTACTTTTCCGTGCTATTCCAGTATTTGCCTGGAAGGACTGGCAGAAATAATTGAAACCCATAATCAGGGTAAGTGGTGAACGAGCAGAGATTCGAAGCATAGACCTGATATGAAGAAGTCTTGCACACCGTGAGAACCATTTTCCGGGCATTAAAACTATTTCAGTGTGACTACCCGAAAGAACCGTGACGGCGTTTGTTTCGAGTAACATTTACGTATGTTACTTATTAGGTAAAGTGAAAGAAAGTTGCTGGGGGCAAGATCATTTTTGTGGAAGGGCCTGTCTAGTAGAGTCACAGGTGTTAAATAAGGAATCCTGATGTTTGGACTAGGTGAAGGAGGCTATTACTTGCGGGTGGCGAAGCCACTCGGCATTTACGATCATTCTGAGACCTGGATGAACTAACATGAGATGGTTTAGACTCGGGTGTTTAATCCGGAAAAGGCCCGGAGGGGGGACAAAGCTAGAGGGAACAAGCAATAACAGTTTCAACAGCAAGAATTATGAGACCGATAGGAATAAAAATAACAACAGGAATATTATGGGCAATTAAAGGATCAATGTCTCCATGGTTATCTGACTCATAGGAAAGGCGACAGAAATGGAAGGGCCCATGGGGTGTTCTGCGCTCACGGTAGAACGTGTAGAACGCCCGATAAAGGACATGAATTGTAATTCAAAACAATGGGGCAAGTGCAGCTGCACATGCGCCATTGTTTTTAATCCTAGTGTAGGTTCATATTTTTAAAACAATACCACAAGGACTGATTCTGTAAATAAATTTTTTATCGGAGAATCATAAAAGTCTAAGTTTCAAATTTCTTGGGAAACAGATTTTGAGAACTGCTCCTGACGATTTTATCCTGGATGGCTGTCTTGTGGATTGTAGCACCATATAGTCTAGTAGATTTTTACCAGCGTTTCAGAGGTCTTTTTTGCCTCTATCATCAGATCGATGAGTAATGAGACAGCAAGACTACACGGCGCTACAACCCAGAAAGGAGCCATATTAGTACTTACCGTCCTGAGAACCTCAAATCCTACAGAATTTATCCTGGACTGCGGGCCAAATTTAAGAACAGAAAAAAGAATCAGATCTTAAATAACGGAGAGTAGGGGAGGTGGCTGTCGTCATGTAGGTTTTTAAGAACCAAATTAAACAATCGCCTTCAACTCCTATCTCCCACAGATCCCGCTTGATATTATTCTCCCATCTATGTCTAGATCTCCCTAGCGGTCTCTTACCTTCAGGCTTCCCAACCAATACCCGGTGCACACCTCTCGCCCCATCCATGTATGCCACATTCCCGCCTATCTCATTCTTCTTGACTTAATCATCCTGACAATACTGGGGGAGGAGTACAGATTTTTAAGCTCTTCATTATGCAGTTTTCTCCAGACCCCATCGTCTTCTCTCCTAGGCCCACATATCCTCCTCAACACCCTATTCTCAAACACCTGCAATCTGTGTTCCTCCTTCAGAGTGAGATACCATTTTTTGCACCCATACAAAACAACAGGCAAAATTATTGTTTTGTATATTTTAATCTTTAGGTTCTTAGAAATCAGACGAGAAGGCAAAATATTTTGAATTGAAAAGTAGCTAGCATTTCCAGAATTGTTTCCTGATTTTATCGGGAATATCATTTTGATTGATAGCTCAGTCAGTTTTGTGACTAAGTACGGGCTGGACGACCGGGGTTCGATTCCGACAGGGTTAGAGGACTTTTCCTCTAGTCTGTGCGTCCAGAACGGCTCTGGGGCTCACCATTTGAAGACTAAACGCCTGCATGGACATGTTCAGGCAACGCCTAATACAGGACTGTCGGAGAAGTTGCCGCAGCAGCGCGGGGATCGTGAATCTATGTTCACCCTGGTTAAACTCGTACGACGGACGGACGGACGGACGAAAATTACCCACCACCTGGTACGGAATGTTTAATGGCAGGATAGTTTTTAAATTTCGTAAACAAATTTTCTATTATTATAATTCCAACACAAAGGACACTAATGGATCTATTCGGAGCCTGTTAAATGGGTTCCATTCGTCTACAAGACGTATTCTCAAGGCGTTAAAGAAGTCGATGTTGATCTGGGTTGTAGCGCCATGTGAACATGTGTTTATAAATTAGGATTTTATACTTGAAGATGGAGGCAGTATGTTCGAAAAGCAGGAGTCTACCTACAAGCTCGCGTGGTATTACCATCCAGAAGACCAACATCAACTCATTATTTTTCTCCACGATGTTACTTCGTCTCTCGTAAGTTATGTTTTTAACACTTCTCAAAAACACTCAATCCGTGTTCTCTCAGAGCGAGAGACCTGGTTTCACACCCAAGCGAGCCAATTTATTTCTAGAGATGGACATCGTACACAAATGACCATCAAAAGAATAACCATACTGCCTCCATGATCACCCTGATCTACCAGACCATGCCGTGTAATATCCCTCAAGATAGCCATCTTAAAAATGCAATTTGAGAAGCAACTTGCAGCGTGGATTGCCCATACGTCATTTTAAAGAAGTTCTTTAACCGATTTTGCAAACTAGATACATACTAACTGACACACATGACCTTACCATTATGAGTTTATTTAATAACACTGATGCAAGTAATGCATAATGGGACATGCCATATGTCCTCGAGTCTCGAAGGCTTTGTCCACGTACACTTAATGTTCATCTTTGAAAGTGCCTTAACACAGGAAACTTAATATGTTCATATATTTTAGACCAGCAGCGTTTCTTTTGTTCTAATTATGACCAGTCTCAAGTTCCATGAATCGTGTGTGGAACGATCTCGGCTAACCCGTGTACCAGGGTTCTTAGAACTCGCAACCCAAAGAGCGCAAGGGAAACCTGTCTATACCGCCTCAAGCGTCGGTAAGTTTAATTTACAGACAACAAACAAAGAACAAAGAGACATTAGAATTGTATCGGTTCAGAAAGAAGACAGGCATATACACGCAAAGGGCATTTGTAAATTCAAATAAGATTCTGTAACATATTAGCGCAATGATGTCTTTTCGGAAAATCAGCTGTGTAAGACTGGACTTGCATGCTTATTATTGTGGGTCCCAAATCCATTTTTGTACTGTTGCTAATTTCAGGTTACAATTATAAAAAGTTTCAGACCCACAGCACCGCATGCATGTCTATGTTTGTATGTCTTTGCGTTTGCTACCTAAAAATGTAAGATTAAAACATACATGGACCTAATTATACGTTTGTTTTGTAGCGTGTAATACCTGGCCTCTTACGTTAAGGGAAGAACTCAGATGAGAGGGTTTGAGAACATATACCTAAAACGGATGTTGGAAAAAATTGCATATGAGGGACTCCATAATTTGTAGTGTTCACAAAATTGGGATGACGAAATAAAGGAGAATGAGATGGGCGTGGCATGTAGCGTGCATAGGGGAGAAATAAGGAGCTGCAAAATTTTGGCTGGAAAGACTGAAGGGAACAGACAAGGACCTAGGCATTGATGGGAAGATATTTAAACGGATCTTAGAATAAATAGGATTGTAAGTTATGGATTTGATTCATGTGGCTCAGGATAGGTACAGGTACCGGATATTAGCACAGAAATCATAAATAGCCCATAAATTGTAAGAAGTGACATGTATTAAATGGCATAGTAATAGCACAGATATTTTGAAAGAATATTATTAATGTGGATGTAATTCAGCTAGTAAATAGTAAAAATATTGGCACTTATTATCCTAAATGACAGTAGGCTGTTAGTCGTCTGGTTCTTAGTAAGTCACTTCACTGTCGTCGGTAGATGTCGTCGTAGTAAAAATATTAGCTTCTAATATCAATTTAGGTAAGAGTTTTTTTAACAAAATTTCTTGCGCTTTCCTGATTTTCCTACTTTTTACTAGCCTAAGAACAATATGTGGCCTGCGTATATGAAGTTCTTCGTCACATACACTGGTCTACTTACGCTTTTACAAACACCTTAAATTTATCTTTTTTCAAAATACGTTCTTCGTAACGTAGCCTACAAAGAATATGAAAAAATGCTCGTTTTGTAACACTTAATAGGCTTATTTAATTTTCTATCTATAGGAGACTATAAGACATTCCGAAATACTCAGAAACATTCAGTAAATATTCTAGTATTGTTCTCATAACGTCTATATTAATATTAAATTCCGACACTTTAAAATAATGTATTACTTATTGTTTTATCAAGACCTTATCAGTGATTTTGATTTTGTTGATATATTCATTATCTACAGTTATCTGCCATTGTTTATACAGGATTATAAGAGATTTTTCGCCTGATTATGTTTTGCATTTATGTTATCATCTATTATATTACTGTCATCGGTATTTACAAGTACCTGACTTCGGCAAACTAGCGGTGGCTTGAAAGATTGTACTCTTTACCAAATATTACTAGAGTGACAAAATCAAGGAGTATGAGATGGATGGGGCATGTAGAAAACATAAGAAAGCTGATAAATGCATACAAGATTTTATTCGTGAAACCTGGATAGGTGGATGACATATTTTTTAAAACCTATATGCAGATGTAAGGGTAATATAAAAAGGATCATGAAAGAGTGGTGTGTGAGGGTGTGAAGTATAATCACCTGGCTAGAGACACGTAGCAGAATCTTGTGAGCCAGGTAATAAATATTTCTTCTTCTGAAATCATGTCAAAAGATATTCGAAGCCTTCTGTTAGATACGCTATTTTTGTTCACATGCCAGGTCACTCAGTTGCCACAGTATCTTATAATTTTGTCGTGTCGATAATCCAGAGATGAAAATCTGTGTTTTTAACCCAGTATTGGGGCGTGACTTTTCGTGTTACCCAATTCCCATGATGGGGGGGGGTAAAATTTTGATAATTGAGTATATACATCCTAGAAGACAGCTATGACAATTTTAGCTAATTTAATGCTTAAAGTTAACGAATGGAATATTAAGGAATATGACCGTCTTCTCGTAGGTTGCGCCGTGTAGTCTGGCCAGATGATGGAGGCAGCAAGCACCTCTGAAACGTCGAAAAACTTCTACCAGATTACAGGGCACAACATCCCAGAGGCAGTTTGCATTTTCGCGACAGCGAGGACCTGAAATATCACCTACAAAAGAGGAAGGAAATGTAAACAAAGAAAAATTTTTGCTTACCTTCTTTATTACACCTTATTCTTTAGTTCCATGCGACGATAATTTTTCAGAGAAAATATCTACAAAGGAATCATGGAAGTTCGGACTGTTGTCTAAGACTTGAAGTTCAAATTTGTACCAAGAAAATGACGTAACATATTCTTTGATTGTTTGACCACTTTTGTGAGAAAAAGGGTTGGTCTGCCTACTTCACTGATTTTTCTTCTTCTTAGAAGCAAAATTGCTACAAGAAAATTACTGTTTTAACAAGTTCCCTACAATACAGTGACACTAACTTCATCTTCCGTGATGCACAATAAGAAGTCGCAACACGGTACACGCGTACAACGAAGGTTGCGTAATTAAAATCGCGAGAAATGTGATGCAACGCACTACGAGAAAAGCCAGCACGCAAGCAAGTAACGTGTTAGCAGTCGACGTCTGGCTAACGTCTCAGACCGGAAGGTTACGCAGCCCCTTCGTCCCGCAACTATACATTGTATCGTGCCTCTTCTAAATGCTCCTACGCCTACAACAGGTCCATGTTAAGCCAGGACTAGGTGGTTGACTGTGAATCGCTTGCCGGAGATGTTAAGATGCATTTTATCTGATCGGTTCTTTGTGTTCCAGTGTATTGAGTACCACGAAAATAGAAAAGAAGACTTTTTCGTTTCTCAAAGTGTTAATCAGGATAACACGGCTAACATGAGCGATGTTTTCCTGCTTTATCCTATCCCGCTGCAATGGCCAATCTTAAGGTGTACGAAATATGTGTTTCAAGTACTTATCTAAGACCTGTAACTTTCCATTTTGAAGTGCAAGGCCCAAGGCTGGATATCCTAAAATAGTTTCCTAGACGATCTAAAGGCGTTCATTAAGCAGAATAGCCCGCATGTACAGGGCATTCCAATTTACTAATTCTCCGAGTTCAAGTAACAGCACTGAAGAAGCTAGAATTAAATGAAGGCGAGACGTAATAACACACGATGCAATTATACCGAAGTAAATATTACTGTTCATGGAAGACCGAAACGTGATTTTGCAATTTTGTATTCTTGTTTCCAGCAGGTGGAATTTTTATTTTACCAAGAATGTATGTAAATAATTTTCTACCTACGTCTGTCAATAATCACAGATTACGTACAATTTTTTATATAAACAACATATTTCTTTTACTGTTTAAGTTGCTAATAGACCTCGCTTTTGGATCATCAGTTGCAACTACAATCCAAAGAAGAACTCTGTGAAGTGACCTTCAGGACACACAACGTGCTTAAGGGATCGGAGAAAGTAAGAGAAAAGAAACAAAAGATTCCGAGAAAAGTATGTAAAGTGCATTGTGAGGGATTTTTGGAATCAAATCCCACAACCCTTATTTTGTGAAATTCCCTGGCAGCTTGCATGATGAGTTGCGGCTAATCCATCATTACTGTCTCTTTGTTGGAAGTCCGTGCTTATCTTACGCCCGCACAGGCTCGAAGTCCCCTCTTGTCATTTGGGTCCAGTTTAAGGCGCTGATACTTAACGGCCTGGAGACCCAGCATAAACTGCCATTTCGTTGTGGAGTTTGAAGCGGGAAACACCCACTAGAAGCTGTCATGACAGCCAAGAGGAGAGCACAGGTAAGTCAAGCTACTGTCTGCTGTTTAATGAGGCGTAACGAGTGCTTGCCGCATGGGAATATTTTGCAGGTCGTTCCCATTTCCTCAAGGAGAATATCAGTTTTAAGATAGTGCTTGTTTATATTCACAGACTGTTTAAGTTATGAATTGATAATCATCGGTTTAAGGAATCTCAAAGGATTCAATTTATTATGGAAAATGCATAATTCATTTTACATAAAATAAATGTATATATTAATATCCAATTAGAAAAAAAAATATTGTCCTTGAAAATATTAGGATCGGAATTCTTTTAACCAAACTTTCTTTCCTGTTCCCTCAAAGATGGAGGCGTTTCTGAAGGCATGTGTAGTAGTGCTAACCTGCATGGGGATTGATGCCAGACCTCCGGTGAACAGAGCCAAAGGAGCGTTTGGACTTGAAGAGGTTATCTCGGGGGAGCTAAGTAGCTTCGGGTTCTCGGGTACTTGGATATCAGGTGAGTGTATCTGTTGGAGAAGCCCAGTCCACTGGCAACTAAAGCCACTGGCTGTCCAAACAAAACCTGGCAAGTAAAGGAATAAAAGTGGACACATCTACCGTGGGATCTTATAACATTAGGCAATTTAGTCTTATCTCACGACATACGCTACTGGAAGATGTCCGTTTATAAAAACACAATCGTATCAAACACGAACTTGAGGCTGAACTCTGGGTTTGCTAGGTTACGGATAATTCGAAATATAGGCTTTAAAGCGACAGTCATATTTCGATTGTAATTTTTGGACTGTCACTCCTTTATTCTGGCACAGACAAATTAACAGTATTATTAAAAAAATTCTGACGATTGCATAGTTGTTATTTTCAATATCCCTGCTGAAGAAATACTTCAATAAAAGTTCAATATTTTTAATGATGTTCTACCAGACATAAATCGTGTAGGAACATTACATTTATTTACTTGCAATATGTTTGTTATTCAATACAATCAACGAACTACAATCTCTCCCAATTTAGGACCTTTTAAACTTCGCATCAATTGTTCTTCTGTTAATAAATTATACAAAATAGGTCTATAAATCAATACAAGACAGCAGATCAATGATTTGGTTACTGTTGGTTTCGAAATGTAAATTTTTCACGTTCTGTGCAAATGAAAGGTCTTTCAGATAATATTTGTAGTCGTAAAATACATACATATATATATATATATATATATATATATTGTTGGCTTAATGTGTGAGGTAATTAACGTAAAATAAGTAGACTTCTATTTCTAAGTTGTGCTTTCGGCATAATTATTTTGTGTTTGTTCTTTCTGAAGAAATTAATTTTCGGTCTGCGACCTGCTACAGAAATCGATGTCGGGTAGCAAAATAAATTTATCCAGTATACGAAAAGTATGTTTTACTATTAAGTGACAACATTAAGAAATAGGAGCCCCACTGGTTTGAGATGTTGTCACGCGCTCCCCGATTTTGGAAGTGAGTTTTCGAATTTTTCAGAACAGAACCTTCATGGAGCCTGCGGAGTAATATAATCATGAACAAGATATTTCGTGCGACAATAGAAAAACTTAGTTGAGTATGAGCCGACCAACAAAATTCGAACAGCACTTATTACAACTGTTGTCTCTCTAAGATACGTATGGAACGGAAGTAAACATAAGGACAGTTGTCATTCTTAGGTCACAATGACAGGATGGCGCTTTGATGTGATCGTACATGAACTCAGTGGGTTACTCTGACAGCATGAAGGATCTCTACCAACATGAACCCAATAAGATATCGCTACCTTGCCAGTGTTTGTTGATGTCTGTTCTATACAGATCTATAGCACGTAGCATAAAAACCAATCACTATCATAATGACAAAAACAATTGAACTGTATCAATGTACGCGTACTGATTTCCTAAGGTACCCAATTTTAACCACGTCTGTTTACCGGCATACTAATTGAGATGTATCGCAAGTTTCAGCTGTCTCAGCACCCAAGTACCTCAGAATATATTCAGGTTGTTTCATTCCGTATCAATCTTATATATTCTCTGAAATTAATGTAATTTCTAATATGACGTTATGTAACCTACGTATTTGATGAAGTTCTGTTAAATAAATCACAAACGAGCGTTCCATACAAGAAATACCAATTTTTTGTATCAAAGAAAATCACGAATAAGTGAGAATTTGGAAGGGAACTATCCTGCCATATTTCAACGTATTCGAACATTACTTTAAGATAGACCTACCAAGGAATACCCACGAAAAAGATCAGTGAGGATGTGAGATATCAGGTTCTCACGGCGACGAGTAGATGCCTGTTTTATTGGTTGTTGCACCGCATAGCCTGGCGGAATTTTACCGACGTTTCAGCAGTGTTTGCTGTCTCCATTACCAGGCTATCTTCATCGGTCAGGGTTGATATTGGCCGAGTGAGATTTAAAGCCTCTGATTTGTATAATGATCAAACCGGCCGAAATTAGAAACCTATTATATCAATCTAGGTAAATGCTGGAGCCATACCTGAAACTAGGGTATTGTCGCTTCCATCAGTAATGTTTTCATACCATGCCATTCCTGATACGACACTATATTTCAACACAACTAACAAAGTGTTATATAAGCAATTAACCAACTAACCAAAACAGCAGACATGGTAGCATGTTGAGCATGTGAGAATTTAACTGAAGCAGAATAAAACAGTCTGTTGTAAACAAACTTTTTACACACTCGGTGGCCAATACCTCACGTGCTGAAACTGAAACTGATTCCTGTCTGTACTGTGAACTTGTAAAAACCACTTTCCAACAATCAGATACATAAAATGCCTGTCATTTTACAGAACACGCGACCTTATTACCAACACGATTGGGGATTACATGTTTACATTCCGCGCGCGGCGACTTCTTGAACCCGCTTCTTTCTGTCGGGCAGTACAGCGTAACGGAGCATCAAAACGGAAAGAAAATCTGGCTTCAACCAACTAACAACACAAGACAATAAACGTTTAGTTTGCGGTGTATCACTTTTAGTGATAAACCGAGAAACTGTATCGCTACAGAGACCCTAATGAGTCCTATAATTATACCTATTGCTAATAGTCGTTATGGGAAGAAAGCCACACAACCGCCGGCTCTCTGCAATCTTAATCGCTGGGGCACTGTATTCATGGGTTCGAATCCCGCTCAAGGAATTAATGCTTGTCCTCGTCGTTCTGTTATACTGCCCTGTGTAGGCAGAGAGCTTGCGACGGGCTAATCACTCATCCACAGAGCCCTATCAGTTGTCTAAATAGTTGAAACATCCCAGCAGCAAGCACATCTGAAACGTCCATGAACATGTCAGTCTACACGGCGCATCTCAAAAACAAGCCATTTTCATACTTGCTGCCTTAAAAGCTGAAATATTATTTTAGTACAAAATACAGTGTAGGTGTCAGATTCCACAAGCACGGCTGTCACAGAAAATAGCTGTATTTCATCTTTTTTTAAGTATCAATCGGTGGCTCTAAAGCTGCTTCAAGATTCGGAATTTATTGATCTTTCCGTCTGTCTGCTCTTAGGCTTACGGCATTCTAGGGCTCAAAAATAGTTAACAAGTCCACACGCCGTTCAAACTCGGAGGATAAATATCGGCACAAATATTTTATGTCTGTATAATTTAAATATGATATCTGTACTATTAACTAACTTCTGTAACAGTAGAATTTGTAGATACCTATTGTGTTCATTTCTTAAGAAGTCTGCTATGAGTTAAATCTATACCAATGTGTAATAAAGAAGGCATTCGGATTCAACGTATACAAGAGAGTTAAGTACATTTTCCATCGTGTTAATAGCTCACTTTGCAGCATCAGATGCATATTGCACCGTAAATCAAATAACAATTCCCAGATAAATGTAATAAATGTTCTACGTTCTAGGCTGCACGAATCGGATACTTATAAGTTCATGGCTTAAAGTTGAAATCATATTCTGTGTTAATTCTGCTTGGTCGTTTTACGAACAAACTTTTGCATCATTTGATCTAGATTTGGTTAAACGAGGCTTTATCGACATGTTCTGGAGTCGCGACTTACCTGTGTACATACATAATTCTAGACATTGTCTCTTGTTCGAAGGAGCCCCTACGGTTCCGCTTGGAGTGAGACAGTCAGACCCTGCTGTACTCCTCCTTCCGAATGCCTTACCTTCTCTTCAACTTACCTTTACCGAAAAGACGAGCGGGCATTACCTGGGAATCTTCGTAGCCGTAAATTTATATTTGTTCCCCTCACCCTGTTGAATATTTGATCTGTCTTCCAGGAAAGCAGTTCCTTTACACGGACCGAAACACAGGGAACGTCCTACAGTATGACTTGCCCACGCTTTCTTCGTCGGTTTTAGTGGAGAGTCGAGTCTTGGTGAGTATAAGGTATTTGTTATACAGCAAAGTGACCAGATTAGATCAAAGTCACATTATGATGCAATTTGTATTCAGTTCGCGAGAGAACACTTTGTATAGCGTAATTATTCGGCGTTTTGTGTTGTTCGATCAACAGCTTGACAATGGACGATAAATAACTCACCCCAAGATGACTGTCTTCTAGGTTGTTGAACCGTGTAGTCTGGTAGAAATTTACAGACGTTTCAGATGCATTTGACGACTCCAACATCAAGGTGATAGGTGGAGGCAGCAAGCACCTCTGAAACGTCCATAAATTTCTACCAGACCACACGGTTCAATAATCCAGAAGACAGCCATCTTCTACTCGCCGCCGTGAGGATCGGAAATTTCATTCAACTGACCACAAATTAGAAACTCCGGGTCCATGGAGTAGCCTTCAATGGCCAACTAAAGAGGAGCTGGTCAAGACATTCCCTTCTTAGTGGAAATCAAATGTTCAGTCTACTTCACATCTTCAAATGCTACTTCTAACGTAGTTTATTTTTATATATCCATAAATTAGGTTTAAGTCACAGCTCTGCATCCAGCCAGTAAAAAGTATTTTCTACATGTTCACTGGATGCATTGGTATTCTGTCTAAAGACGTCATATCAACAGGTATCTAGTTAGTGTCGAATGAGACATTTCTCAACCGAGAATCTTAAGGTTATACCTAAGGGTTTCCGCAAGTTGAGTAGATTTTACTGTTTATTTTTGTGAAGTTTCTATAAATTTTATTGTTTCACGACCATAATTATATATCTCCATGACCAAAGTAAGTCTGTATTACAACTAAGTCACAATATCATAATTTTTGATGCTGCTTTGCTACATATTCACAGAATGGAAGTAAGTGAAAGACGGAAAGTATTAAGCTTTTCTCATCACATTTTTACTTCAAAATTAGAGCAAAAGCATGAGTAATAATAATGATAATTTCATAAAATAAAATTATATAATACATGTAACATGCATTACAAACAAAATGTGTTCCGGAAATTGCCGCTGCCCTATGTACCTTAGGGACAAGGTCTGTCTCGGGTACATGGAAGTAAATACCACATAAAGTGGTGAATAGATGGGATAATAATAATAGCAATATTACATCCTTTATCTATATTGATCCATTCAGTCAAAATGTTCGAGGTAATTTTTCTGGGAGGAAGGGGATCTGCGGTATCACGGAGGTTTATGAACACTGGAATAAAGGCAAAGATGACCACGAAAGACCAATAGGAAATTCCATACAGCTAGGCGTCTGGGGCTGACGAATTCCACGAAGCTTTCAGTGTTAATAAATGGTCCTATGACGAGCGTTCAAAACGGAACACTGGCCGCAAGATATCCCCTTCTCGGTGGCGCTATTAACACAGTACATTATTAATTAATATTCCAAAGAACAAAATAATGTTGCCGTTCTCAGTACACTGACACATATATTGCCCAACTGTGTGCTTCAGTCCACTGATTGACAGCCATATTCATCTAAATGCCTGTCGCGCATCCAACCACAGACCTTGTAGTTGTCACACAGTCATTTGTTCTCACGAATGGAATGATGTACCGAAGCGGCGCGCTTTCAGGGAAATGGCAGAGTAATTTCTTTTGGAACGTTGTGCATGCGTTATACGTTTCCCTTTTACGGTTTATGAAGTTAAGTTAGATTATTACTTAATGCTTTCTCTTTTAATTCCCCCTTTGACTCCTGAATTCACTTAACCGCATAGGCAAATTTCAGTTTTCTCCTAAATGACTTACAGGAATGATTACATCGGAAAACTCCTCAAGAACTGCTCTTCTGAGTAGGGACGCCAAACTGAAAATAAAATAAATGCCACTGCAGGTAAACGTTATCAACAATGCAGATATTTACCGTACATGCACTACAAAATTATTTTATATTTCGTTAGCTCACATCGTAAGAAGTCTCGAAGTAAAGTGAAGACATCTTAGTAAGGTCTGTATTTTACATGATGCAGACCTATTGCCTTAGTATGTAGGGGCAGATGGCTGGTACACGTAGCCTGAAGGGAAGGCACCACTAGGGGGACTTAGGCGTAGATTAGGGATGATATTAAAATGGATTCTAAAGAAGTATAGTTTGAGGATGTAAAATGAATTTATCTGACATTTATCTGTAAATGGGGATTATTTCTTTAATCAGCCATTGGCCAGTTGTTCTTCGTAGTGGCGAAGTGTTATTTTCTTTGGGGCATTAATTAATTCTTATATATTACTTTGACGAACTTCGGCTTTAAAGGGCTCGTTACAAATTTTGAATAAACCTTACAGAACGTTGCGTCTATCCTAGTTGCCTGAAACTTCATTCATTCGGTTTCAAGGGATTAATAACATGTAGTGGTATAAGCCCACAAGAAGATAAAACTTGAGGAATGAATGACACGTTCTACATCACATCACACGTTGGCTTTATAACTGAGTGCAAAACGGCATTAACCTGGCCTACCTCTGCTAATAGCTTCGGAGAGTAGTGTAGGTGTTAGCCTGCCAGCGTTTAACACCTTAATCACAAGAGCCCCGAGCTTCGGAATGTTTTCATGGAAGCAAATTTGCAAGATGCGGAATGCAATCGATCATGATGGGTTTATGAAGAGGTTGGCCTCGTGTATCATTCACGAGGCCGGGCTGCGACAGCTGGCTCTCACATCGGCGCCATCAGTATGTCTCACCTCAACAGGATGAGTGATGCGGGATATTCTATTCACTTATTCAAATCTACAAGACATCAGTTGTTACGTGAATGTACCATAGATACCGTTTGACCCTAACCT